AGTAAACAGCCCAGAGGAAATAAGAAGGGAGATCTGAAAGACAACCGCCTGATGTCCGCATGTGAGCTATGGAACACATGCACACGCACATGAACATATACAGTGCGCACACACATAGAGACACACATTTTAGTAAGTTAATGAAATTGTCTCCGGGTGAAGGATAATGTATGATTTTGAAATTTTCTTATTTAGCTAGTTTTCTATTTTACACAATAAGACATGACCTTCTATATCAGACTTAAAAAACACACACACACACACACAAAGTAAATTCAGCTCCCTACTAGAGCAGTAATAGCAAAATAGATGAAGTGGAAATGAACATGTGTCAATACTTACAGAGGAGTAATATTAAATACCTAGCTCCATGCCCCCCCCCCCTTTTCCCATGGCTGAAGTTTGGTTTTGCTCTGTTAGTCCACTGCTCTGCCTTCGCTTTGGTTCTAGCTTTCTTCCTGGTCACTGGAAACATTCCCAATTCCATACTGATCAGTTATAGTCTATCCAGCCCAAGCTGCCATCATTTCTGAAGGCAGGAAGTAATAGTATATATAATGCACACCATTCGCGTTTATTGTTAACATACAAATATTAGCTCTAAATATATGTAATCATATGTACGTAGTCCGGCATGTGAATCACCTTTGTGATGATGCATTCAATGCTACCAGTCACTTGTGTCTACAAGAGCGAGTCTATGAAAACTAGTGAGGGCGAAGCTATGACCAGGGAAGCAGATGGCTATTGAGAGAGGGCTCATGTCAACGGCCTTAGGAAGGGCCTCAGAGCCCTTGAGATGGATTCATTTTCATGTAAAACTGCTGTCTCTGATACTCGCACTCATGAAGCCATCTCATGTGCTAACATTAAATAAACTCAAGGAACTGTCTTTGATTTTCTTAGTTTCGCTTGTCACGAACAGTCCTTCACGAAAAAGTTGTTGGTGAATTCTCCTTGTCTTGTGAGTTAAAAGCAAAAAAAAAAACAGTCGTTCTGCCATCACAATTTCACAAAGGAGAAAAGACTCAAACTCATGTGTAACAAAAAAGAGTAAAAAATGCTAAGAAGAAAGAGAAGAGCTTAAGGAACACCAGGGCGCCCTAAACGCGAATTGTTCCAACTAAACCCCAAGTCAACAGTAAGAACAAGACCGCTTTAAGAATTGTCATCATTGTGGGAATCGTCACCATTGTGGGGATCCACAAAAGATAAGTGTTTGCGACCACTCTCAGGAGCTGAAGACAAAGATCCCTTTGCAATCTGCCTGGACAATGCTTTAACTCCATGTCAATCTTAATGTCAGTGGGGACACACAGGACCCTACAGGATCTGCGAGCCCCTCGTTTAACAGGCCTGACAATGTTTTTCCTGAATTCCACTCCCTCTTCTTAACACTTAGCTCACATGAGTCAGCTCAGACGTGAGCCCACCAAGTCTATAGAGAAGGCATTTGAGATATGTCTCCTCAGAACTAGTTTTGACAATGTGTTCGATCTTTTTAGTACATTTTAGTAAACACAAAGGCAAATGGATTGATTTTTCAAATGAGTCTGTAAAGGTCAAACACTAGACTATCAGATGGTATATCCCTCCCCCCAGGAGATATAAATGTCCACACCTGAGAAAACCCCAGGCACTGACACCTCGCCCACCAAAACGCAGTCAACTACAGTTAATGAGAATCGGAAGCCTCCAACTCTCAAGAAGGCTTACCCAAGACACTTAGGAACTAATATGTAGGGGGAGGCCGCTCGTTCCTCCTGATTGCCAGGCTAGATTAGCCCCGAAATAATCACACAGAAACTGTATTAATTAAATCACTGCTTGGCCCATTAGCTCTAGCTTCTTATTGGCTAACTCTTACATCTTAATTTATCCTATTTCTAGTAATCTGTGTATTGCCACGTGGCATGTCTGACTCTGGTGGTGGCTCCAAAGCGTCTCTCTGACTCCGCCCTTCTGCCTCCCAGCATTCAGCCTAGCTTTCCCTGCCTACCTAAGTTCTGCCTTGCTATAGGTCCAAACAGTTTCTTTATTCATTAATGGTAATCACAGAACACAGAGGGGACTCCCACAACATTAATCCAGAACGTTTGCAAGCAATCACAACTACCAAGACATAGAACTGACTGCCTTAATAATGGGAACAGCCAAAAATAAAAATAAAATAAAATAAAATAAAATAAAATAAAATAATGAAAACAGGTTTGGCATCCACAGGGGCATTCAAGAAAAAGCCAGCCCATTGCCCACCACAGGTTTCCCAGAGGAAACCTTACTTATACAAATGGACAGTTTTTGTGCAAACAGACATTCATAGAGCAGTTGCTACTCAACAGCTCTGTGCATAACAGAGAAACTGAGGCACAAGTACCTCCCACCTGGCAAACACAGGCTGGCTCCTGAATGTCAGGGACAATGGGTTTGGTTTGATTTGGTTTTAGGTGTGCGGGTAGTTTCCCCTACATGCCTGTCTCTGTACCTCACTCACGCCTGGTGCCTGAGAAGGCCAGAAAAGGAAGATGGATTCCCCATAGAACCAGAGTTACAGACAGTTGGGAGCAGCAGCCTGTGGATGCTGGAAATCAAACCGAAGTCAAGCAAAGTAAGAGCTCCTAAATGCAGAGCCATCGTCCCGGCCCAGTGTGTGGTTTTTAAGGAGCTCTATCATCAGACCTTGCCTACACTTCCTCTGCTCTCTGGAACTCAAAAGCCGCGCACGGGGCCAGTATTTGCTGAAGGAGTGAGCCTGAGTTACTTGTACAAACACTTCCTCCCTGCAAGTTGTAACTTTTGCTCTGGTAAGCCAGAAAAATGATGTATACTTCAGCCTACACAACATGCCTATTTATATCTATTTCCTAGATGAGTCCAGGGTGTGACCACCGAACAGCTGCAGCTGGCGAGAGCTCCTAACCACCCCTCCAGCTCACTACACTCCATCTCCATGTGACAAAGGTCTTGCAAAGCAACATGAGGAGCAGAAGGGAATGTTTGTGCAATGACCTAAGACAGCAGGGGTCCCTGAACGTCTGGAACTCTCGCAGCATCACCTGTAAAGCGGAAGACACAGGAGCCGTCTCCAACCCACGCTCACTGGATCAGAAAGGGGTGCTACAGGCCTAATACCGACTTTAAATTTGATTCTTACTGACACATGAAAACGTTTCAAATATACATATTTATGAAGTGTCATGTGACAGCTCACTACACACATGCACTGGACACAGTTTCGTTTTGGTTCCACTTATGTCCACCTCCTCAAACATCACTTCCTTATGGTGCAAACATCAAAACTTTGCCATTTTGGCTTTCAGAAATACGCAATCCCTTACAATACCTATGGCTACCATATACAGTCCCTTACCATTACCTATGGTTACTGTTCGCAGTCCCTTACCATGACTTATGGTTATTTACGCAGTCCCTTACCATGACCTATGGTTACTGTATTCAGTTCCTTACCA